AAGGAGGTAATGGTGTTATGTTGACTTTGCTTGGCCATTGACTTTTAAGTATTTTAAATGTAAAATGTAAAATACTTTAAGTATTTTAAATGTAAATCCCTTTTTAATTAACATTTTTCTCTTTATGCCTGCCTGTAACTGCCACTGTAATAGCAATGCAGATAATATACTTACCATCTAATTTGAGGACAGATAATCAAAGTGTTGTGAAAATTTAAGGGTAGCTGAGTACCTGGGGATCATATGCTGATTGTCCCTGTAGAATCACCTTGTGTTTCTTTTCTCACCCCTCTTCCAGGATGCTTTTTAAAGAAAGTCGAAGTGTTCACAATCACCTCACTTCTGCTCCGTGAGTATAACATTGACAATTGCTAGTATCTTCAGGTAGTTCATAGCATTGTGTGGCTTGCTTCTTACTCTTTTCCTGTTTTCTCTTCCCCTCTGTTCAGAAAGAGGTAGCATGAAGGGAGATATTTAGGGGTTTCTTGGAAGATATTTATGAAGTTCCTAAAGTTTTAATGCCTTAACATGTGCCTGTAGTGTTCTTGGGGCACTGTAGTTTAACTCAAGCATGAGTTGATTAAATATCTCAAGTGGGTATTCATTCTTGGATTAATGCCTTTTCATCAAAGTATTTCAAAATGCTGTACACTGCCTAAATTTTGCTATGTAGCATAACAAATTGAACCCACAGACGGCAGTATTTCCTGGTCGTCTTCTCCTCAGAAATACCTCCTACCAACAGCAGACTATTGTATGTTGATGGAATTTTACCTTCCTGATTCTCGAACAACACTGTATCCCCCTGGGGACCCGTTATCATTAAGTCAGTGTTCAAATAACTAGATGGCATTCAAAGTCATAACTAAATTACAACTTTTGTGATAGATACAGTTAACAGGCTATTTTTCTACACAATACTAAAACTGATCAGTGATCCACCTTCAGGAAGATAAATACTTTTTAAAACCAGACATGTTCCAAATCGCTTTGGAAAGGCGCATGAGAGAACTATAAGGTGTTAATCTGTTGATCCTTTTGAGGACATAGAAGTGAGATAAGAACGTAAGAAGTGCTTAGTTTCTAATTTGAAACTGAGGAGTATTAATGCTACCCTTGTTTGCATAACTGCAGTTGACACAGTCACGTTCATTTAAATAGCAGAAAAGACTAGAAGCATATTAAACTGCAACAAACAAATTAGATATGTTTTATATTTGACAAGCAACAAATCACTTTGCTGGCATGGGGGGCGGGGCGCATACCACAACTGTTTTTGTAGTTTGATGTAATACAAAAGGGGTGAGATAAAAGATGGCAATATAAAGTGAAATTATATAGGTGTTACAGGTAATTTTAGTCTGGATAAAGCTCTGCCAAGTAGGCAAAATCTTAAGATTGTAAGAGGCTGAAATGACTTGATATTTTGAGGTTTTTCTAAACTGAAAAAGTAAAAAAAAACAAGTGTCTTGCATTGACATACACTAGATTATATCAACAATTCCGTGAGTGTTTATATCTAATATATCTACAGAGACACCTGACAAGTGAAAATAGACTAAAAGTATGCTCATTCTCTTTTCCAACCCCTCTCCGCCCCCCCCAACCCTCCTGACACTTGAACCCAATTTCTGTCTCAAGGATAGTATATTATAAAGGATGACTACTGGACGCCAGCTTTATAGTTTATTTGGATATAATCAGGGTAACAGTTAATATTAAAATGACTTGCCTGTCTTTTGTCTTCCGATTTGCTTATCTGTCTCTTCTGTTTTAGGGCAAAAAAGAAGGTGATTCTGGCACCTAAACCCAAAGTGAAGGTAAATGCAGCCTGTTTTAAATTAAGACTTTGATGTGACTCTGACTTGAACAGTTTTCTGCCTGTGATCTAAAAAAATTCTGGCAGAAAGTTTCCATTAGAAAATCCTAATTTAAGGAAATGCTGTAAGAGCTTATTCATTTGGTAACGTAGGCTTTAAACCGAGTAATACAAAAGACTTATCTGTATAGCTCTTAAGTTTAAACTATATAAGTTTTGAAAATAGACTGTGAAGAGGTACTAGTTGCATTGAAGTTTCAAAATGTTTGTGTGCTTTGTTTTTGTTTTCACCTCGTTATATTTGGCAACATTGGAAAAATCTGTATTTGGGGGGGAATAACAGAAGTTGATACAGGTTCTCAGTAAACGTGACTGGGTGTTGTCTGAAATCAGTAGTCATTTTGCCTAAAGATCAGATTAGCTATCCTGTTCTTTGCAGCATAGATTATTCTTAACTGTGTGGGGTAGTCATCTTTGTGGAGCGACAGCACTGGGTTTTTTAATATAAATATTGGATTAGTACACCTGACTCTGATACCTAGGTATCATAGGTACCTTTATATAGAAAATTCAACAGTAAATCTTCATCTGAATTTACAGAATGATAGTAACATACTAAAGAAAACTTTGGTTCAGCTTTAGGAAGGCTGCTAAGCGTTTTTTCCTTCTCTTTCTTCTCAGGACTCCAGTCCAAAGAAAGAACAGAAAACCTGTACATCTTCAGTCAATTCAGGTTGTGCTACTACGCTGAGTTCCAGCGCACCTATCTGCACCCCAGCCGGCTCTAGCTGCACACCAGCTCCGGAGACTATCTGCTTGGATGACTCACTGGATGAAGACCTCTCTTTCCATCCACCCTCACTGGATTCTATCTCTGATGCTCTGGCAGTTATCAATAACGGTGCCAAGGGATCACCTCTTGGGTCCACTGTAGAAACACCAACATCAAGACCTCGCCCTGGGCTGAGGGAAGAGAAACTGGCAAGCATCATGAGTAAGTTGCCTCTGGCAACTTCAAAGAAAGTAGAGCCCACTCAGACACCCCATTCATCAAGTCTTATTGCTGGTCACACAGGGCCAGTACCAAAGAAACCCCAGGACTTAGTTCACACTGGTATCTCTTCAGGCCTTATTGCTGGATCTTCAATTCAAAATCCTAAGGTTTCCTTAGAGCCTTTGCCAGCCAAACTACTTCAGCAAGGACTGCAGAGGTCAAGCCAGATCCAAGCTGCTTCCTCCTCTTCACAGACCCATGTTTCTTCCTCTAAGACCCAAGCAGCTATTTCCACCTCCTCTCAAAGACCCAAGGAGGCTAATATCTTGGTATCATCTTCTGAGGCCCAAAGTGGTTCTTCCTCAACATCGCAAGTGACAAAGGTGCACCAGCATTCAGCTGTACAACAGAAATATGTATCTCCTCTGCAAGCAACCATTAGTAAATCACAGACCAATCCAGTGGTGAAATTGAGTAGTAATCCTAAACTATCTTGTTCATCACCAGTCATCAAGGCTCAAGATAAGTCTGTAGTGTATCGCCTGCCTTTGTCTAATGCCTCATCTGGAAGCGGCTCTCAAGTATCTCACCCACTGGTTTCTCGGACAACATCCAGCACCTCTACCTCTAGTAACTATTTAGCCAAGGCTATGGTGTCACAGGTTTCTTCCCAGGGTTTCAAGCCTCCCTTCTCCATGGCTGCCTCTCCCAAACCTGCTGCCTCTCCCAAGTCCACTGCCTCTAAGCCCTCTGTGACGCCCAAGCCCAATGCATCACCTAAATTTTCATCGAAGTCCACCTCATCCCCCAGGCCTGCAACAACACCCAGTTCTTCCAGTTCAAGTGCACTAGTTTCCCAGAGTAGTCACTCCAGCAGCAACTCCCTTCATAAACAGACCAGTGGTGTAAATATCAGCAGGCAGTCTCCCACAATGAATTTGCTGCCCTCTAATCGCACCTCAGGCCTTCAGCCTGCAAAGAACCCTCAGGCTTCTTCAAAATTGCCCAACTCTTCTCCTTCTGGAACTGTTGGCAAAAATAATTTGGGTGGAGTTGGAATGAATGTACCTGCCAGCAGAGGCAGTAATCTTAACTCAAGTGGAGCTAGTAGGACTAGTCTATCTGGGGGAGCAGGAAGTGGAACACAGGGTGCTACTAAGCAATTGTCAACTCCACACAGACCATCTTCTGCCTCAGGGTCTCCAGTTGTAGCAGCCAGTGTGCAGGTATGCATCTAATGGGTTTACAATTAAATCTTACGTTGATAACTTATTACACGTACTTCATAAACATCCTTTATTAAAATATCTTGATTTGAAAATGATTTAATATCTATACTGAACCTCTACTAAATATAGAGGCTAATACTGAAACCTTTTTACACTAACGAAACGAGCACTTCCAACTGATTGTGAAATCCAAGGATCGGGCGAGGGAAGGAATCCTCACTTAAAATATTGGCTGGTCAATATGGCGGTGCAGCAGAATTCAGTGTTTTCAATTTTTTGTTTTGGGTTTTTTAAACACTGGAAAAGGTAAGCTTTTGTGGCCACGATTTCAGGGGATGCAGTATTGTCCTGCATTATTGGATAGGCGTTTTCTTGTATATTTGCTTTCTTGTGATGATGGTGCTCATGTGAAAAGCTATCTTGGTACGCTTCTTGCCACACTTCATGCTTAATTTGCAAAACTGGAGTTCAGTTGTTTGTCAGTATAGAGTTTGTGGTATTAGAGTATAACACCAGACATCTATTAAAATAACACTTGCAAGCCTTTTCTAATATTTGATTATATCCTACAGAGTAAAATATATATTTTTTTTCTCAAACTGAATGAAAGAGCTCACCAATACATAAGTTTCCTAGAAATGGTTTGAGAGAGCTCATGCAGAGCTTTCTCCATAAAGATAAGACAAGCCATACAAAACAAATATTTGGAAAGTATTGTTCTAAAAGCCATGCACACCTATTTACCCAGAAGACAATCTGCTTTCCAAAATTGTATGTTCTTCTTACTGGGAATGATTTAATTACCGAGATAATTTGAGGTATTTGTCTCTCTTTATTGCTCTCTTCGCTTCTTCAGTAAAGTTAAAGGCTAAGTCATTGTAAGTCAGAATCTTAGTCTATATTAGAATTAAATTAGAAAAGCCGTGTGTTTTCCTGAACAGTGTGTATAGCTATTGCATGGATACTCATTTTTTTTGTATAAAGCTTTATACAATTCTTTTAGCATGCTATCAATTGTTTTGATGCAGATGTGTAAGAGGATGATTTTCATGAGGCAGTTTTGTGGTGTTTCACTCTGCTGTACCTTAAGTAGGTCTGTTGTGTTAAACAACAGATATGCCTGGCAGGCTCTGACACGACTTTGCCATCATTTTGGGTGCTTTGAATGGAAAAAAAGCACAGCAAATACACTGTGCAAGGGCCACGTAGGTACCAAATAGGGCCTAGAGAAGAACTGAACCAGGTATATTGCAGCTTGGATGCTTCAGAAAGTGCCTTCCCTGACATGCAAGCATGTAGTTAAATGGGTTGGGAACTGAGGGTTTTGGGAGCTGAGGGTTTTCTCTCATGCAGTGCACGCAAGCTGGTGGATGAAATTGCAGTGATGTGGAAAAAAACCTGAAGTGGCTGTGGTAGTACTTAAAGATGACAGACCAGAGCAATAACTAGTAACCTTCTGTGGATGGTGTGAGAGGAATGCAGTGATGTTGAAGAGGAGGACTGGAGCAGGGCTGGTGGATAATCAAGTAACGTGATAACATACTGTAATGCAGCAAAATACATACAATGTTTTGGCATGTAAAAAGGGGAAATCAGCTAGAGGAACTGGGCAGGTTATGGTGTTACTAAGTTCATTACTGTGACTTTACATGTGTTTTTCCGGCTGACACTTCAGAAGGCACCTCGGTAAACTGGAGATGGTTCAAAAGAGTGATGCAAGGTTGATACAGGATCTGTAAGGCAGTTGCTGCTGTGCAGACTGAGGCTCAGTCAGTGTGGTGCATGCAAGAGATTAGAGTTGAATTACCACACAATCCAAGTACCCTGAAGGAGCAGAAAGATTCATGACAGCAGAAGGCCTTTTTTTTTAGCCTGAATGATCTAATGGCTGGCTACTGAACTTAATTCCAGCCTAGCTATAAGGTACAACGTACCAAGGAGGGGGAACTAACTCCTAATACATCACATAGGGCTGAAGTGAATCTTCTTTCCACTAAGTGTTTAGGTATGTAATACCTCTCTAAATGAGATTATGCTAATCAGTCAGAAGGTAAGAATGATGCATGAGTTGCTTATTAGACTGTCCTGGTCTGCATACATAGGTCAGACTAGATCATTTCATCTGATACTAGGATTTTCCTATCGTGGAAGAGTTTCCAAAAGGTGTACTTCCCTCCTTTTCCCCTTTGAGAGTTAATTACTTGAATGTAAACTTGCCCTTACTATAGCTTCACCAAAATTTTACTATAAGCTACTCTTATCTGGTTGCATCTTAAGAATACAAAGCCAAAGTAATCTAAAACTCAGCAGCCATCTTACAGTTTCTTAATAAAAACACGTGCTGTTTGTATTCTTGAGCAGAATCTTTCTTAGACTTTTAGCTCTTAATGACTCAGATTTTATATGACCAGGGTGAACCCTCTTATGAAGTGCTAGTGTAGTTGAGATAAATGGAAACATTTGGAATGTACTTCTCTTTCTAGGGCATTTTCTGTCCTTTCCATCACTGAACTTCTCTCCTTTTTCAGAAAGTAAACAAAGTCTTGGCAGAATATGTTAACAAAGCTGCTTTCTCTTTTCAGGCATTTTACAAAGGAACAATTGCAAGAGATTGCAGTATGGCTTTTATGTCATTGCACACTAAAGATTACATAGTGAATGGCTGTCATTTTTCTTTAGGGGCTTATCGTGAAATTAATACTTTTAAATGCAAAAGAGAATAAGGATGTGTATGTGTGTATGAAGATTTTCATCCATGTACTTTTCCAGGTGTGGGACAGAGTATGTCTTATGTATGTAGACAGAAGCTGTCACTGCTAAGATTACTAATGCAAACAGTTTCTACAGATGTGAGATCTGTAGCTGTTTAGACTTAAAGGATAGTAACATTTTAATATTTTGTTTTCTTATGAGTTGCTAAACATTCTTTAGTTGCTTTCAGCATATTAAGAACAAAATTGGTAATAGAAACTTTATTCTTCCTGTGGCGTTTTCATCGCTTTGCTTTTTATGTAAGTTGTTACAATACAATTCAAGGAAATGTCCTTTTCACTTTGGTATCAGGTATTCATTAAAACCTATTTAAGTTTTGTTTTTAGTTAAGGCTTACTTGTCCAAATGCACAGGTCTGGGAGTCCTGCTCACACTTGAGTCTTTTTAGCTAAAATACCTACAAAATATCTGAGTCTTCTAAATGTTTTCTGTACTGGCTATGTTGTAGTAGATCATTTGAGAACTGAACAGTAGCGTATAAAGTCACGATATGTTTAGTGAGGGAAAGATAGTTAAACAAGAATGAGCTGGGCAGCTTCTAACGTTTGAGGAATTAATGCAATTTGGGAACTATTGCAGCTGAAATGTTCTGGCTGATCTTGATTTTTCATTTTAAATTACAATGCATTTAATTTAATTGTGACATATGCAGGGTAGAGAGATTATTTTTTCAAGTGGGAAGTCTTTCTTGTCTTTTGCTCTGAAATATTCTGTATGCATTTATGTATAGGCATGTGTATATGTATATGCATATGTATATCTGCATCTTGGCAGCCTGACTTCTCTCTTGAAGTATGGTGGCTGTTAAATGTGGATTTTTGACTCTCAAATTATTACTTTTAAGCAACTTCTTTAGAAATAGTATGGGGGGGGGTGATTTTGTGCTTCTAAAAGAACTTTAGACCTGCATCTGATGATTTTGTTATTAATTTAATGGAAACGCTGCATTTCTGACTACTGATTCTGTGCATAATTAGTAAGATAAAGGAAATTATCTGCGAGGCTGACAAGAAAAGCATAAGAGTTGGAACTATGTTGCCGTTCCTGCATCTGAGATGTAGTTGTGCTTGTCTAGCAAACTAACAATGGGAAGACCTCCTAGGTGGATAAGTGGATAACAATTTAAGGGCCATACTTAACAGAAAATAATTGACTCCTATCTCCTTAGAAGATGCTGCTGAAAATGAAGCTTTAAAATCTTGAAGTACTCCTTCTTTTTGTACAGTCAACAGCAGGAGCATCATTACTGGCTAATGCCTCACCTCTGACTCTCATGGCCTCACCCCTGTCTGTAACCAGTCAGAATGTGACGTCTGCGCCATTAACTCCTTTTGGGATGCTGGGTGGCCTTGTTCCTGTGACCGTGCCCTTCCAATTTCCCTTGGAGCTGCTTGGCTTTGGGACGGACACAGCTGGAGTGACAACCACCTCGGGATCTACCTCAGCAGCTTTCCACCACAGCCTAACTCAGAGTAAGTGTTACTAGTTGTCAGGCTGCTGTAAGGAAAGTTGTGCACTGAAAACTGAAATTGAGAAAGGAAGCAGTGGTAACTGAGTGACTTAAATTCAGTTCAGGAAAACCCATAGAGGGGAGATTAAATGTGACTTATCTGGTTTTTTAAAAAAAAAAAGTCCTATTCATGTTATTCAAATGTTATGGATCACCTTTGATAGATTTAACTTCATCATTGTCATGTTCATAGTGGATGGCTGGATTTGAATGTGCTTTTTCAGGTTAACTTATTGCCATATCTTTAGAAGGGAATATATCTTTAAAAGTCTCCAAATTTTACAATACAAATAAGCGTAATATTGTGATTGCTCAAAAAATCCTTAGTTAAAGAATGACTTGGACCCTCTGATACTAAAATCATTTTCTTAGCATTCTGATGGCTAATACTTTATCCTATCAGCTATTTATTTGTTGTTGTTGTTGTTGAGGTGTCTCCAGAAATAGCTATTACTGTAAAATAAGATGATTTTATTTTCATAAAGGTTGGAGTTGCTTACTTTCTCTCTCATTCTGTCTCTCTCTTCCTCCCCATTTCTTCCCCCCTCCTTTTTTTTTTCCTCCCTCCCTTCTCTAGACTTACTGAAGGGTTTACAGCCAGGTGCTCAGCATGCAGCAACGCTGTCTCACTCACCTCTGCCTGCTCACTTGCAGCAAGCTTACACAGGTAAAGATAATGTTCCTCTTCCACCTTCCTTTTAACTTAAGAATAAATAAATAAAAATAAATGCCCTAGATTGAAACAAAATGTATGCCAGATTTGAAATTAGTTTAGAGAAGACAGACAACGTAGGAACAAGCTTTGGTAGTGGCAGGTGGTGCAAATTCTGCTATAGTGGTATTTTTTGAACCTGAATGACTTTAGACCTGTCTTCAATACCAGGGACAAAAAAAAAAAGTCAATCTCATGGGTAATACTTTATTGTAGTGGTTCGAGAAACCCAAGCCTCCAATTTCAACCAGCAGAAAAAAGAATACTACTCCCTAGACACTTAAGTCGATTTTTTTTTTTTAAACAGGCTGTATAAAGGCTGTATTGAGGGGCTTGCTTTTTTTTTTTTTTTCCCCCCCTCCATTTTAATTTCTCCTTTGGAGAAGAAACTGAACTTCCAGCTAGAAGCTTCTTGACTTTTCTTCTAAGTTTGTGCACATGCGTGAACAGTGTGGTGGCTTCCTAATGGAAGATATGTCTTCCCTGAAAACTTTATCCTTGACAAAATTATGTATTTTGATTGAGAGTAGTTGAAGGAGTAGAACTTCTGCTTTTCCTGTTTGTGAGCCTTAAAGCTGAAAAATTGTCATGTAGTTTCAGAAGGTGATGTAATTTAGAGTGTACTCTTCTTGACCACTCTGTAGGGTTTTTTAGCCAGATAGAGGAAGAGGAAAGGTAGCAGTGACTTGGCAGGTACTTCATCCTATTCTTGCGAAGTGTTGTTCTAAGAGGCTGTGAATGCAAACCAATCACCTCTATTTGGTATCATCTTTAATAATTTTTTGTGACAGTGAGTGCCATGGGTTGACTCTTCCAAAAATGCTTTATTACAAAGAAAAGGTTGTTAAAGGCTTGTTTTTTATAGTGTCCCAAACTGCAACTTAATTTTTAGAGAGATTATATCTTATGGTACGTATCTTGATATCTCAAGTTTAAACAGTGCTATTTCAAAAGAAACTACTGCTGAGGAGATGCATAGTTCTTCATCCCATAAAAGCAATGTGCTTTCTGATAATGCTGAAGTTGACCATGCTAAGCCCTCCCTTTTTTAGGTTGTAAGTTAAAAAATAAAAATTCACTTATGCCTTTATTCTTCCCCTTCTTTTTCTGTCTCTAAACTACAGATGGAGGCCAAAGTAAAGGGGACACTAAGTTACAGCGGAAAAACCAGTGACTTCTGGACAAGCAAGGGAGCTGAAGCAGTTCTGGTTGGCTGACAGAATGTGCCCGGTTGGGAAAGTGCTTATTGTCACAGGGCTGCTGTTTCTGTCAATGTTTACATATTCTGATCCCAAGCACTGTGGTGAGAGGAAGAAGAAAAAGAAAACAATACTTGATCAAAGAGAGAAGGAAAAGGAGGACTGGTCCTCCTGGTCATACAGACTGGTCATAGTTTGATCTTGCCTAAAGAAACAAAGCTTTTTTTTTTTTTAATCCACTCTGATTGGCTTTTAAAAAAAAAAAAAAAAATTGGTTGTCAAACCCACAGCAGCACAAACATATTTTCTGGGTGATGTCCAGTGAAAAGTTGAAAGCGTGAGAGGAGCTACAACAGGTTTCTTCATCCATTGTGTGAGGTGGAGTTGTCCACTTAGTTCCTGACGTGCCCCATGTAAAGTTATATGTAGGTCCTGAACGTACCATACGGTTGCGGACCAAAAGGATATGTAGAGTAGAGGTGATGTTGGGATACTTTTGGGTTATACTTAAAACCTTACACAGATGCAGAGTTTCTGATATGGGCATTTTTCCAGCTTTGTAAGGGTTTTTGGCTTTAGGGAGCCTACAGATATATGCAGTCTCATTAGTCCCAGAGAGCTGTCTTCAAAACAGATCTCTGGTACATGAGACGTCAGAGACAGACTACTGGGAAACCCCTTGCTCCTTGCTTTTGGGGGTTTTGTTTTTTTGTTTTTTGTTTAACACAGATATTTAAGGGAGGAAGGATGTGGGAATTGTTCATCTTACATTAAAAGGAAATTTACATTTTATTGGTCAGACTAGCATTTCTTCCCTGCCCCCAACCCTGTTTTTAAGGCACACTTGTATTTCATTTCTTTAGTTTGCTCAATTCTTTCTCGTTTGCCTTGTGCCTGTCTGCTACTAAAACGAAGTAATGTCCTATCACATCCTTTATAAAAACAACCAGTTCTTCACCCGTTCTAGAGCTTCCTCATCTTTCATCTAACTCCTCCCAAAAGCCATGCATTATACTGACCTGCTAGTCAAGGAAAGCTGAATGTGACTTATTCCAGAGCCAGGTTAATACTGCTTCAGGCATTAGCCAAAGAGGAGTCGTTCAAGAGCGACCAGAGGTGCCTTCTCTTCCGGGGGCTGAATGGGTTGTCTCCAGCATTTCCAGCCCCTGCTGGCCTGGGGAGTTCCTGACCTGAACTCTTCCTTACGTGGTAGCACAAGACTGCAAAGCTAGCTTGCTTGCCTTTTTTTTTTTTTTTTTTCCTTAATTGGATAGCAATACATTGACTTGTTCATTTGTAAGGTTAGGAAATATCCAGCACACGTTGCACTTTTGACACTAGGGCAGAACTTCACTGAGTCCCTTGCATTGTCAAATAAGATGAGAATGGCAAACTGAAATAAGTCATAGAGGAAAGCAGCAGCTAAAATCATATGATGCTCTTCTCCTTCAACCCTGAAACATTCCTTTGATCAGAGCAGCTGAAATTCCTAGTAGCTAGCTAGTCTTTCCAGTAGTTTGATCTGAGATTGAACCAGTGACAACTGGTCATCTCACACCTTCAAGAGACAAACTTTGACTCATGGTTATTGAATTTTCAGTGTTTTTTGCCAGATTAACTTATAGCTTTCCGTTCTTTTATGTGTGATTTATTTTTCTTAGACAAGGCAACAATTTTCTTTTCTATTTAGAGCTCATTTTAATTTTATATAAATATATATATACATGAATTTAAAATAATATATATTGTATATCTAGTATAAAAATGTTGGGTTGAGCTCAGCAATAAATGTTTTTGCACAACACTTCTGTGAAAGACAGGTTGAGTTAAAATAAGATGCATTAGTTCATGAATTTCTCTCCGTAGCATCAGCCAAATTACATGCTTTTTAGCTACTGTTTTGTATGTGGCGTGTTGATTAGATAAGCTTGCATCGCAGTCTTCAAGGTTTTGAGTTGAAACGTACAGCTACACAGACCCTGGCATTCCTAATCTGATGCGAATTCAGTGGCACAGAATGCAAGTTTTATCTGAGTTTTTTTTTCTTCAGGAAGGGTTGAAGGAACTAAAATTTGAGGCCAAACAATTCTGGAGGGGTGTTAATTCTCTGAACTGTGTCAAATCTGATACTACTAAAATAATGCATGTAGCTAGGGGAGTTGCAGCAGTGAGCCACCAAGCAGCAATATATTTAAAAAGAACCTGTCCTAAGAGTTCTACCTCTTCTACGTTTTCTTCATCAAGGCATCTCATTCAAGTTCCCATATTTTTGTCTTCATATTTGCTTAATGAAATTTGAGATCTGGAGGCTTGAAGCTTACAGAATAAATTTTCCTTTCAGCATCTCTCTCTTCCTGGAAGTATGCCTCACCTCCTGTTGAGGGGTATCCTCTCTAGATCTTAAGGAGATGAGGGAGTAGATCAGTCTGTATGGCCTCTTGAGCTTCTCAGTCTTGGGAAACAGGTAAACTAATACTTATTGTGGAGTTAGGCTGTAGGATGATGAGCATAAATAAGATGATACATTCTTCATGAAGCCAGGTCAAACAAGCCACCAAAGGGTAACTGTTTTCAGTCAGTTATCCAGAGCTGTTTTGGAATTGGCAACATGGTGATGAAAGGGCCTGTATTCCTTTTTCCCTATTCTCCCTTGAGAGTTAAACCTAGCAAGGCAAAATCAAAGGAAATAATAGATTGGCTCCCAGGTACCTCTGCAGGTAGCATAAACAGGATGAAAAGTGAAAGATTTCTGCAACATCCCAATGCAAAATTAGGTTAATATTTTACTACTTCCTGCACAGCAACTCTTCTAAAGATATTTTTCCCAAGTTTTTACTACTTTTTTAAGGGCCTTTGGTAATAAATAAACTGTAGTTGTACATACTAAATAACCCTCAGTATTCACAAGCAATAAGAAAGCCAAGTAGAGCTGTCTTTCCAGGCAGCAGGGCTGAACTTGGTTTGGGGACTGTATATGAGCAAACGCGTCAAGCTCACTGTGAGCCCCATCCAAATGCAAGCAATAATTTCAAACACAGGTTTTAGATGTTAAAACCCTCTGAGTGATACTTTCTGCTACATGATCCAAATCCCCAAAAGTCATGGTAGCTATTTTAAATCCTTTTGAGACATTCGCAAAGTAAGTAAAAAGGAGGCAGGCAAGATGAAAAAACAGGCTGCAAAATTGTTGATGCCTTGGACTATAACTGCAGTGTTCTCTCCCTCCAAGAACGATGCTAATGGCCGAAATCACTTTGTCCAGCCTTCTCTGTTAATTCAAGATACATGACTAATACTGAGTAACTCAGTCACAAGTGTGGATGCTGTGGGTTTTACATCTGTTTTCTGCTAATCAGAAGTAACTTTTAATTGTCTGGGTTCTACTTCTTGACCGAATCCAATCCAAGTTGTCTGATGCACACACATGGAGGTGGAACAGGTGACAAGAACCTGTTTCCTTCCTCCAGTCCCATCACCTGACCCTTCCTCCACACTCCTTCTCCACTTGGTGCAAGAGCCTTGAGGACATGAAAAAAGAAATCCTGCAACTCTCCCAAGCTGCCATCAGTTGTGTGAACCATTAACCCTCTAGGAGTCATCTTGGACTCCAACTAACTTTATCACATTTGCTGCTACATTCGTAAAATGAACTTTTGGCTGTATTTATTAGCAAATTTTAATCTAGTTTACAGTTTGAGGTTGTTTTTTTTTTTTGAGTAGTTTTTGCCCACAGATGGATTAGAAGTGTTGGTGTTTGGGGTTTTCTTTGTTTTGAGTGAATTGCTAAAGGCACAGTGGTCCCACTTCTGTTCTTGTTTTGGATTTTTTTGAAGATGGTATTGCAGGAAAACCTGCAGTCAAGGTAAGCTCTGGAAGGCTTCCTCCCACACCTCTAACTTTCATCTTTTGCTGAATTGGGGGGAATCATTAAAGGGACACTTGCTTATTGTTTGTTTGTTTTTTCATAAAATGAACCAGAAAGCAGTAGGTAAATGACTGATTAATTAACACTTTATGCAATTTTAATTTTATAGAAATTAAAAAAAGTTGGTAGACTTTTGATTGGTCCTAGCTCTGGTGAAATGCCTGTTACCCTTCATGACTGACTTGATTCAGGCCTTTGTCCTTTGTTTAAGTGCCTTTTTTATTTTATCCCCCCCACCCTCTTTAAACCGTTCTCAGAGATCCTGAAGTGCTGGAAGGCATTTTGGAGGAAAAATCTTAAGCTTGCCAAGATGACTTTATGCTGTTATACTATTTTTCCCTTTTGTAAAAAAAAAAAAAAAAAAAAAATGTAATGTGTGTGTAACTTCAAAGCTGCTGTACCATGGCATTGGTTCTGTATGCTTGTGCTTGTTTTCTCATACTCACTCTCTCACACACACGTGCACACACGCACGCACACACACAAACCAGTATTCCTGAGAATCCTGTTTATCCTTCTGCACTCTGGCTCTGTTAAACATTTTACTTATAAAAGGTGGACATTTGAGGAAAGAAGGCAACATAATAAAAGGGATGTGTGTGTGTGTGATTGTAAATGCGTATAGGAGAAAGGAAGTGGCTAATGGAAAAGAAATTTCTAGCATTTTCCTCTTGAAGGTTTTAAATTTGGATCGTAATTAGGTCACAAGTAAAACACAGGCCCTGTCTGGATACCTTATTAAATACTGGACCGCTTCACACAATTACTGAGTTTGCAAAGGCATGCAGCTGACATAAATGTGAGCAGGAAAAAGGTTAAAATAGCAGCTTCCAGCAAGTCTGAGTTGAGATGAATTGCAAGGAATCTCGTTTGGCTGGTCACGTAGCCCAACACTAGTTATTGCAAGGATTCTCACATTTACCAAAGTTGTCACTTCTTGTCATACAACATATGTAAGAAGAAGCTCTATATAACGTGTTAGAATAGAGCTGCTAATTGAAATTAAACCTGGCTAAACTTCACAAGCTGCCTGAATCATACACCATCAAAAGTACTTTTCTATTTGTACCTTCTCTATTAATGAGATTTCAGTAATGGTTTGTTCTTCTCAAATAATGAACAGTAAGTTAATGTATTGTTAGCTGCAAGTGAACTGTCAGAATATCACTTATGCTTGTTTCCTTGTTCTCTGACAAAATTAGCTATCAGCAAAAGGTATTCTAGGGATTTAACAATTCTGTGCTGAGGATATGTCTAGGTTACAATTATTACAAACATACGTACCTGAAATTAGCAATTCATGTGTTGATCTGTGCTACACTTATGACAGCAAATAGCATCACTAGGCTATGCTTGTTCCGTGATGTGCTTCCGTTAGGCAAGATCTAATTTTGAGTTGCCTTGTGAAAAGGAGGTGTTTATCTTTCCTTTTCAGAAACCAGAATAGGAATGGCATGCAAAGTTCTTCCTAATTAGGTGGAAAGCCCGTCTAGAGAGCAATAAATAAGATATTGATACGACGTGTGTTCGTTTGGCAAAAAATAGTCTAACTGCTATTTCAGTTCTTGGCTCATCTGAACACATGTAAATGAACCTGTTATGTAAACTAGGCTATAGGCAGATATTCTTTCCCAATCTAATGGTGCCAGTCAGAGAGAGTACGATTGCTGGTAGCTTGGCTGTGGAAGTGATTACGTGAGTGCTTCCTGATCTGCCTTAGGCAAGTCAGTGAAGTTACTTCAGTAGAGACAGCCACGTTCACTGTTGGCAGTAAACTGAGCTAACTTGGCTGTTCTAGTGCTGTTTAACTCATTTGAGGCACCCCTGCTCCTTATCTTTGGCCTAACTGGGAGATCAGAAATCTATGACTGGTGATGAGTGCTGACTGTGGCAATGTTTGCAGGTGCAGCTGTTCTCAGAGTCGATGTCCATCTACTGCTTAAGTAATCACTGCCAAAGCAAAGCAGCCAGAAGTAAACTTCCTGGGCTACTGGAAAAGTAACAGTTGTGTAGGGGAATGCTCTGGTTGCAGAAACTGCTAGTGTAGCTTCATCATCCTTTTCCTATGACCCAGCGATCCCTTGCTACTGTAATGGCCTTTGGGGGGCCATGGAAAGCCCTACTGCTGCTATGAGTTATGCTGAGAGATCAGCATGGCCTGGAACTGACCCAAAACTGGGGAAATGCAGTGATTCCCTACAGCCAGTTTTGCACACTTTTCATAAATGATGCTGTGCTAATCTTGTCAGTAGTCAAGGACAGAGGTCTGTATTTCGTAGCCAGTTTTTGACGGCTATAATTCTACAGAGCAACTCTGGAAAAGAAATGGGTTTTCATGTTTTATAATATTAGTGAATTTCAGTCTTATCTTCTTTGCCAGCTTTGGCTTATGCAGTAACCATTCATAAGTTTCTCTTTATAGTGAAGTAATCCGAAACAAGTAGTTCACACTGTCTTTGACTTTTGTCATGCTCAACACCAAGGGTTTTTTGGCCCAGCAGCACGTGCAGATATGTGTTGCCAGAAAATTCAGTAATGTTTGTAACTGTCCAGCACCGAGAGAAAGCAGGTGAGAGAACCAACCAAAACCAGTCAGGAGATACCACCAGTTGTAAGCCAAAGCAAGTAGCTATTGAGGCAGCCAGAGCTTCTTTGAGACTGATCAGATTTCACCAGTGGGGAGGGGGGTGGGGGAAGAGACATTTTTGTGTTCTCAGCTTTTTCCAGATAAGGCCTTAGTTTGATTAGTAGTCACTAATATCAACTATGCAGATGAGTATTCTTTACATGTTTCAGTGTTACATGCGCTCCTTCCCCCAGCCACCCCTGTTAACACATCAAAGTTTTACCCAAAGAAAATGGAATATTTTTTGAATGTCTGTACTACAGAACTTTTTTGCTAACATGAAGAAAGAAATTTGTATTTTAAAAAGAAACCCTTTCACTGGTGCAGCACCTAGTGTCAAAAGTGTCATGGAATTGCTGTAAGAGCTAAGCTAAAATCGCCTCTTGTTTTAGTCAGACAAGTTTTAGTCTGAGAGCTTTTCGAACGTTCAGCTCTCAAAATTGGTTTAAGAAGCCACGGCAATTTTTTTAAATGTACAGTTTGGATTTGGGGAGAAGCTAGTGAGAGAGACATCCTGTATTTCCTTCCAGTATCAGAAGTGTATTCAATCAATTCCTTACTTAAATGAAGTTTCTTCTAAACAAGGGGAGGTATTAGCTACACAGTAGGTGACTCTCTAAATAAAATTAAATTGAGATTTCCCCATGTATTTGTCACTGACCTTTTAGCCTTGTATGTAATTACAAAAGAACAATTTAGCTCGGAGGTGAGAACTGTAGTGTGTGTGTGTGTTATTGCCAGTAATTCCATCTTGTAGCAATTAGTACCATGTTCTTGCATAGTTCTCAAGATCCACACTGGAAATAGATGGAGAAAAATTATTTTTGGACTACTGTTTAAAAAAAAATTACAAAATTCATTACTACTTTTTCCCCCAAAGTCTACTGAACAGTGTTATATTTTAGCAGTTAAAGTAGTACTCTTGTTATGTGATTTGTAGTCTTGTAGTCTTTTCCTGAGGGAGAGTTAGGAGCATTTCATAAGTAATCCTTAAAGTGTTTGCATTTTCTAGCTTACAAGTCAGTTGCTTATAATGAAAGGGCATCAGTGTGATTATAACTTCTAAAGATACAAAAGCACTGTGTTCAAAATATTTCATTGAAAAAACAGTGTGGGTGTGAGGCCCTTTAATTCTGCCTGATGGAGAGGCTCATGCAAGACTAGAGCTTCCAGATACCCGCCTGCCCTGCTGATAGTAGGGAGAATCATCCCAGTGACGGAGTTTTGGCCTCAGTGTCCTTTGTTTGTTGTCACAATTAGTGTATATGTTTTAAAAAGAATTTGAAAATAGCCAGCTTAATTCTTCTTGACTGGCTGATCATGAGAATGAATGAGGCTATGTAAAGTGAGGGGCTGAGAAATGTAGATACCTGGAGTTTTTTCTGCCTTTTCCTGTGTAGCTTAGGACAAATAATAAAAATAATATAAATAATAAAAGCTACAATTCTTTGTAGTCCACAGTGTCAAACAAAGGAACGCACAGTTACTATGAGACGGCAAACCTGTTTTGAGTTGGTGATTCCTATAGTGCTTCTTTTAGTCCATCACGAATTTGTATGAGGTCACCTTGCTTCTTTTAATACTTGCCTATTTCAGAGCATAGGGCTTAGCGATGGAGAGGATCCTAACAGCTGTGTGCTTACTTGACCTCTCCAGAGTACTACTCCCATGTGAAATGCTCCCCTCTTGCAACAACATGGCTGAACAACCAAATGCAGCTACGTTTGGGTGATTAGCACCACTTTCGTTTGGATTTTTAGGGAGATGTGTTCCACTAACTTCAAAGGATACTGTATTTTAAATGTGTGGTTTAATTTCTTTCCTCTCTTCTTATAAAACTGGACCTGAACGCAAGTTTTGAGTTTTTTTGTAATAATCTCAGGACCTGAAAGATTGTAGCATTTAGTGTGTCTTAAAAATGATGTACTGTACCAGCCATGGATTTTTGTAAATACACCTGTTTCCCTCTTTTGTATTTTAATTTTTTAAAAGTGCGTAAGGCTCTCTGACAGAGGAACTGGTGCCTGCTTAATTTTCATCTTGAACTGAAGCAGGAAAATGGGGAAGCTACCGCCACCGAAGCCTGCACCAGTTCCAAACTGGGTGTTGTTGTTCTGATCAGTTTAATACCTGCTAGTATTTTTTTTGATTGGGAAGCCACTGTACATTCCCAGTTGTGGCCAGCAGAGCCCTATCAGGGAGACTTGTAATTTTAAATCTCTTCTGTTTGACTACTTGCTCTTTTCACTCCTTCCAGGAATTCAGGTTTACGATCCCTGACGTTGCTTTGGTCCCAGAAGATAACGGTGTATGTACCCCGTGATTACCTAACAGCATAATTCTCGCAGGTGCTGACTGCTTCACCTGTTCCAGGGGCAACTTTCCCTTGTGTTTTCCACTGTTCTGAAAGGAGTGCAAAGTTTTTTTTTTCCTTTTCTTTTCTTTTTTTTTTCCCCCCTCCCCTTGTTCGTTTTAGCAGCAGTCTTTGCCCCGGGACCCAAGCGGGCAGCCAGCAGACCCCTGTTCCACAGTAAGAGCCTTACGCAGTACGGTGTAGCTGTTCCCTGTCCTTAACTGTGACAGGCTTTTTTCATGAGTGTACTTTTATTTTGTATGTGTCATGTGTCTGTGCTGTATTAAATAAAGAGGAATGTACATACTAGCTGCGTGTCTCTGTGATTTCTCACGAAGATAAAGATGTAAATGGTCCCCTTGACGGGTTGATTGGGGGGGGCTTTTGGTGTTTTTTTTTTCTTTTTTGGGGGGGGAGGGGAGGGAAATACTGGGAACGAGGAGGAGTGCTTAAAAATTATGTAGAGATTATCTCTCCTTCCAGACAAAACCTCCCGTCGTTCATTTCAAAGTGTAGGAAACGAGTGTTTCCCCGCTGGCCGCGGCCGGGGCGGCGCCCGTTTCTCGCGGGAACTACTCCTCCCAGCAGGCCGTGCGCGACACGGCTTCCCCCCTCCCTCCGCCCCCGCAGAAACGATAGGTCCCAGGAGGCTTCGCGCCACCGTGTTCCGGTCTGCCAGCCTCAGGCAGAGCGCCACTGACCAATCAGCAGGCTTGAAGAGAGGCCCATGAAAGCCATAAAAGGAAAAGGGGCGGTGATAAGAAAGAAGTGAGCACCTACGAAGTCCTCTCCCGCGGCAGCCCCAGTGGCCTAATGGATAAGGCATTGGCCTCCTAAGCCAGGGATTGTGGGTTCGAGTCCCATCTGGGGTGGGCTCTCTTTTTGCCTCGTGCCGGCCTCCATTTTACCCCCGACTTACCAAAACGAGACGGGCCTTTCTCAACGGTCGTTATGAAGGTGGTATTTCAACGCGACGTGGAGGCTGACGGGAGTGGGCTGAGCGTGACCCTCTAAGAGTCCAAAATGCAGCGCTTGAGCCCGCCATTAACGACACGGTTTTGTGCTTTCCTTCCCTTGAGCAGGGAAAAGTACTTGCCTGTCTTTCTGAAGCTGAATGATCTTAAACCCCGCGTATTCAGCCCGAAAATCAGGAATTTGATTTCAAACGCGCGGACTTTGAAACTCAAACGGCTGAGGATGTTTCCTGCGCTTTCCAGCTTTTTCCGACAGAGTCTTAACAAGGAGGCGGTAGAACATTCCACAGCCTCTCAAGCACCCCCTCCGCCACCCATGGCCGCGTTAACGAAGCCGCGGTC